GATGATCAAGTAGGCTTCATCCCGGGGACGCAAGGCTGGTTCAACATACGCAAGTCTATAAACGTAATTCACCACATAAACAGAACCAAAGACAAAAACCACATGATTATCTCAATTGATGCAGAGAAGGCCTTTGACAAAATTCAACAGCCCTTTATGCTAAAAACACTCAATAAGCTAGGTATCGATGGAACGTATCTCAAAATAATAAAAGCTATTTATGACAAACCAACAGCCAATATCATACTGAATGGGCAAAAACTGGAAGCATTCCCCTTGAAATGTGGCACCAGACAAGGATGCCCGCTCTCACCACTGCTATTCAATATAGTATTAGAAGTTCTAGCCAAAGCAATCAGGCAAGAAAAAGAAATAAAGGGCATTCAAATAGGAAAGGAGGAAGTCAAATTGTCTCTATTTGCAGACGACATGATTGTATATCTAGAAGACCCCATCGTCTCAGCCCCAAACCTCCTGAAACTGATAAGCAAGTTCAGCAAAGTCTCAGGATACAAAATCAATGTGCAAAAATCACATGCATTCCTATACACCAATAACAGACTTAAAGAGAGCCAAATCAAGAACAAACTTCCATTCACAATTGCCACGAAGAGAATAAAATACCTAGGAATACAACTAACAAGGAATGTAAAGGATCTCTTCAAGGAGAACTACAAGCCACTGCTCAGCGAAATAAGAAAGGACACAAACAGATGGAGAAACATTCCATGTTCATGGTTAGGAAGAATCAATATCGTGAAAATGGCCATACTGCCCAAAGTAATTTACAGATTCAATGTTATCCCCATCAAGCTACCAATGACCTTCTTCGCAGAACTGGAAAAAACCACCTTAAAATTCATATGGAACCAAAAGAGAGCCCGCATAGCCAAGTCAATTCTAAGCAAAAAGAACAAAGCGGGGGGCATCACACTACCAGACTTCAAACTATACTACAAGCCTACAGTAATCAAAACAGCATGGTACTGGTACCAAAACAGAGATATAGACCCATGGAACAGAACAGAGGTCTCAGAGGCAACACAACATATCTACAACCACCTGATCTTTGACAAACCAGACAAAAACAAGCAATGGGGAAAGGATTCCCTATTCAATAAATGGTGTTGGGAAAGCTGGCTAGCCATGTGCAGAAAGCAGAAAGTGGACCCCTTCCTGACACCTTACACTAAAATTAACTCTAGATGGATTAAAGACTTAAACATAAGACCTAACACCATAAAAACCCTAGAAGAAAATCTAGGCAAAACCATTCAGTACGTAGGTGTAGGCAAGGACTTCATGACCAAAACACCAAAAGCATTGACAACAAAAGCCAAAATAGACAAATGGGACCTAATCAAACTCCACAGCTTCTGCACAGCAAAAGAAACAATCATTAGAGTGAATCGGCAACCAACAGATTGGGAAAAAATTTTTGCAGTTTACCCATCTGACAAAGGGCTGATATCCAAAATTTACAAAGAACTAAAACAGATTTACAAGAAAAAAACTAACAAGCCCATTCAAAAGTGGGCAAAGGATATGAACAGACACTTTACAAAAGAAGACATACATGAGGCCAACAAACATATGAAAAAATGCTCATCATCACTGGTCATCAGAGAAATGCAAATCAAAACTACATTGAGATAGCATCTCACGCCAGTTAGAATGGCGATCATTAAAAAATCTGGAGACAACAGATGCTGGAGAGGATGTGGAGAAATAGGAACACTTTTACACTGTAGGTGGGAGTGTAAATTAGTTCAACCATTGTGGAAGACAGTGTGGCGATTCCTCAAGGACCTAGAAATAGAAATTCCATTTGACCCAGCAATCCCATTACTGGGTATATATCCAAAGGATTACAAATCGTTCTACTATAAGGACACGTGCACACGAATGTTCATGGCAGCACTGTTTACAATAGCAAAGACCTGGAACCAACCCAAATGCCCATTGACGATAGACTGGATAGGGAAAATGTGGCACATATACACCATGGAATATTATGCCGCCATCAAAAACGATGAGTTTGGGTCCTTTGTAGGGACATGGATGAACCTGGAAACCATCATTCTCAGCAAACTGACAGAAGAGCAGAAGATCAAACACCGCATGTTCTCACTCATAGGCGGGTGTTGAACAACGAGAACACATGGACACAGGGAGGGGAGCACTACACACTGGGGTCAGTTGGGGGGAAAAAGGGGAGGGACGGTGGGGGGTGGGAAGATGGGGAGAGATAGCAAGGGGAGAAATGCCAGATGTAGGTGATGGGGAGGAAGGCAGCAAATCACACTGCCACGTGTGTACCTATGCAACAATTTTGCATGTTCTTCACATGTACCCCAAAACCTAAAATGCAATAAAACAAATAAATGGGGAAAAAAAAAACTATTGGAGGAAAATGAATGTATATTTTTAATGGTCCAATATGTATACAATCAATAATTTTCCTTTTTACTGCTTACCTTCTGACATCCTGAAACAAAGAATTTTACAGTTAACCATGGGTTAATACTCAGAAAAAAATGGCTATGGGTAAATATTTGTTCCTTCCTGTATAGGACCTATAAATCCTAAATCATGGCTTTCATCCAGTGACAGGATGAAAGCACACAGTTCCTTCTACAACTCCCTAAGTTAATACCCTACCTTTCATCCATAATCCCTCAAGGACCTTTATTTTTTCTCCAAAGTGTACTGACTGGCAGAGCCCCTTCTTCTCTGGATGCACTCACATTTCCTGTTGAGATGTCAAGGTCTGTACTACGGAGTGGTAATACTGTTGATCTCTACAGAGAGTGGTCTTAATAAAATATATATATATAACTGCTTCTGTTTTGCTTTCTGTAAATATCTGTTCAAATTGCTGGAATTCTCTCCCAGCTCACTTCATGTAGCCTTTCATAAGGGACTTGGTTCTTAATGCTTTTGCTACTTCCTTAGTAGTCTGCTAGAAGGCTTCTGTGGCAGCTTATTTTCACTGCCAATGGCAGGATTTCATCAAAAGGGCAGTAAAACATAATATTTAGGAATTCAGGCTCTAGCTTAGAGTCAGAGACATGGGTTCATATGTCACTCCAGCTCCTTGGGCAAATTATTTAACTTCTCTAAGCTTCAGTTTCCTTATCTGCTAAGTGGAGATACAGTATTTACCCTACAGTTGGCTGTGAATATTAAATGATATTATGAATATATAATGTATTATATATTGCCTTGGACATTGTAAACATTCAGTAAAGCTTGCCTATTATAAGGATCAAAGACTAAAGGAAGCTGGCAGAGGAGGGATGCTAAAAGACAATTTTTTAAAGAGATGAGGCCTTGCTATGTTGTCCAGGCTGGTCTCAAACTCCTGACCTCAACTGATCCTTTGCCTCAACATAATAAAAAACATGCCTGAAGGTGTTGAAAGGGAAGAGACTATACTGTCATGCAAAATTTTTGAGTGATTACTATGGCCAAGAAATGGCACAATGACTGAGGCATGACCCGTACCTTCAGGAATCTGAGAGTCTAGTTTCTCCCTTAGTAAAGCTTAAGTAGCCACTATTAATCTCTTTGTGGCAAAAACAAATAGGTAAAATTCTGAAATAATGCAGATGTGTTAATTTCTCATGATAGAATTAGAAAGGACCATAAAAAATTCTGTCTACCCTGTCTTGAGATGGGTGAAAATCTGGAAGGCTTTATAAGTAAAAAGGATCACTGGTAGAATATTATTCTAGTACTGTTTCTAGACATTTCTAGAAAAGAAATGTCAGAGAATACTATATATAAAAATAATTTGAATGAAATTACGGTGCAGTTGAATTTTTTCCAGCTAATACAATTCTTTTCTAATACACTATTGTTGAAAGCCACTTAAATTCCAACAAAAATGAAATATATGAAGAAATTATGGTACTTATACAATGTCAGGATTAAAAATCAGGTTTTGGAATGGGTGCAATGGCTCATACCTGTAATCCCAGCAGGCAGATCACTTGGGGCCAGGAGTTCAAGACCAGCCTGACCAACATGGTGAAAACCCTCTCTACCAAAAACACAAAAACTAGCTGAGCATGGTGGTACATGTCTGTAATCCCAGCTACTTAGGAGGCTGAGGCACGAGAATCACCTGAACCCAGGAGGCAGACGCTGCAGTGAGCCAAGATCATGCCACTGCACCCCAGCCTTGGCAACAAAGTGAGACTCTGTTTAAAAAAAAAATGGTTTTGGAGGACTCAGTAATGACATGGGAAAATCCTTTCTGATAAATGAAAAAAGCAGGCCTAGGCTGGGCACAGTGGTTCATGCCTGTAATCCCAGCACTTTGGGAGGTCGATGTGGGAGGATCATAAGGTCAGGAGTTCGAGACCAGCCTGGCCAATATGGTGAAACCCCATCTGTACTAAAAATACAAAAATTATCTGGGCGTGGTGGTGCGCACCTGTAGTCCCAGCTACTTGGAGGCTGAGGCAAGAGAATCGCTTGAACCCAGGACGTGAAGGTTGTAGTGAGCTAAGATGGCACCACTGCACTCCAGACTGAGCAACAAAGCAAGACTCTCAAAAAATAGAAAAAAAAAAAAAGAAAAAGAAATAAGCAGGCCTAGATATAGTATGGTTCTAATTTTGTTAGAAAAGTATACAAAAGGAAACCAATAGTTGGAAGGTGAGGTTACAAGTAAATTTATTTTCTTCTTGAAACGCTTTTGAATAAAATAAACATTTCAACAAAATGATTCAGGCTCTTAAAATACTTGAAGCTAATGGTGCATTAGGTTTCAACTTAACATAGGTCACATTAAAAATCTGTTTAGGTGGTTCACCACAAAACAGATAGGGACACAAAACAAAAAGTAACTGAAAGGGGAGAAAGTTTCAAGATTAATTTAACTTATATTGTTGTAGTATATAAATTATTTATGTATCCATGACAGCAAGGACTGACTAGAGCTCAGTAAACAACATGCATATATCTAATTCTGGCATATTACGAAATCATACCTTGAGAATAGGTATAAACTTGAGAAGGATCACCTGTTACGTCCATTGACAGTGAGTTGTATGATTCCCGAGAATGTTTTTCCATCACCTCTGCTGTATGACTGGATAAAGATGATGATGCAGACAATCCCAGTCTAACATCTCTTCTTTTTTTACCACAGAGTGAACAATCTACTGGTGTGGCACTAGGTCCCCGGGGCAGCTGAACTTCATCTCTGTTGTAGTTTCTGACAGCTCCACTGTGATGAACAGAACGTTCTCTTTGCCAGATATAATGTGTTGGTGCAATGGCCATAACCTATAATGGAAAGCTTACTTTTAGAATTTTAGTAGGATTTCAAAATTTACTAAAATTGAGTTCAAAAATTATAACTCAAAAAATGTCTCTAAAGCGACTATACAAATCCAAATTGCTGATTTAAAAACAGAACATTTTCAGATAAGGCAATATTACTAAAAAGTGACTCATTGCTTGGATCTTTAACACAATAATTGACAAAGTAAATTATTTTAAACATGAAATAGGACTGAAGCAACCTTCCAGGTTGTCAGGGTATTTATTTTTAAATTCTGAATATTCTAAGTTTGGGAAACACAATACAGTTACTCTTTGGTTTTTTTTGTTTTTTGTTTTTCTGTTTCTTTTTTTTTTCTTTTTTATTTCTTTTTTTTTTTTTTTTTTTTTTTTTTTTTTTTTTTTTTCTTTCCATAATACAATTACTCTTAAACAATATGTAATTCTTAACTTTGGAATGTACTGGGTTAAAAAAAATTAGATGAGGTTCCCAGCTATGTGTGTTATGCTAATCTTAAAATGTTTGCAATTATGGGAAGAGATATGGTAAGGCTGGGCGCAGTGGCTCATGCCTGTAATCCCAGCACTTTGGGAGGCCAAGGTGGGTGGATCACGAGGTCAAGAGATCGAGACCATCCTGGCCAACACAGTGAAACCCTGTCTCTACTAAAAATACAAAAAAGTTAGCCGGGTGTGGTGGCATGCACCTGTGGTCCCCGCCACTCAGGAGGCTGAGGCAGAAGAATTGCTTGAACCCAAGAGGCGGAGGTTGCAGTGAGCCAAGATTGCGCCACTGCACTCCAGCCTGGTGACAGAGCAAGACTCCGTCTCAAAAAAAAAAAAAAAAAAAAAAAGAGAGAGATGGTAAATAAGAACATAGGTAAGTTATTTAATCTTTCTGTTCCTCAGCTTTGTCATCTGTAGTATGGAGATAATAAGTGTCTATGTTAAAGGGTTGTTAGGGAGGATCAGATGACGCATTATTTATAAAGCCTTACTATCTGCCAGTCATTGTTCTATAAAGTTTGTTAAATAAAACATGGGCTTTAGAGTCAGGGTACACTTAGTTTCTTACCCTGGCACTGCCACATGCTAGCTGTATGAAACTGGACAAGTTATTTAACCTTCCTGGGGCTCAATTTCTTCATCTCTAAAATAGACATACCATCTACGTCACAGGATTATTCTGAGGACTAGATGATTTGTAAAATCATCACTTAGTAAGCATCTGGCAAATGACAGCCATTTAAGAAGTCAAGCCAGGGAACTGTATGTATGTGCCAACCTCATTGCTAACGATTCTAAGCAAAAATCTTTAGTTACAGTAATCAATGACCCAAAGTAAATGAGAACTGTAATATTTGAGAGCTAGGCAGAGCCTTATTAATTGCCTAGACCAGTGATTTTCATGTTTAGAGAGTCTGGGTGCAATGACCCACTCGTGTAATTGCCATCACACCCAGCTAATTTTTGTATTTTTAGTAGAGATGGAGTTTTGCCATGTTGACCAGGCTGGTCTCCAACTCCTGCTGACCTCAAGTGATCCACCCACCTCAGCCTCCCAAAGTGGTGGGATTACAGGTGTGAGCCACCGCACCCGGCTAAAAACTGTTATTTTTGCAACAAGTGCATCAGTCTCTCCACAAACTAACCCAGCTAGAAAAATACACAACCACGCTTATTTACTTTTTAACATGTCTACATATATTTTATATACATATAACCATATAATTAGAATTTACTGTGATAAGTGAATTAAAAATAAAACTGTACCAGGGTCAAGAGAGCTAGATTTTCATCTTAATTCTGTTATTCTGGCGGGCACAGTGGCTCACGCCTGTAATCTCAGCACTTTGGGAGGCTGAGGCAGGCGGATCACTTGAGTCAGGAGTTTTGAGACCAGCCTGGCCAACATGGTAAAACCCCATCTGTACTAAAAATACAAAATTAGCTGGGCATAGTGGTGCACTGTCTGTAATCCCAGCTACTTGGGAGGCTGAGGCAAGAGAATCATTTGAACCTGGTAGGCAGAGGTTGCAGTGAGCTGACATCATGTATTACACTCCAGCCTGGGTGACAACAGCAAAACTCAGTCTCAAAAAAAAAAAAAAATTCATTACTTCTTGGGCAAATTACACAACTTTCTAGGCCATCGGGTGTCTTTTATATGAGAAAACAGATCACTTACAATCCCCCAATGCTGTGATTCTATGAAAGGGACTTCTCTGAAACACTAGTAGCAGTTGATCTACTAGAAATATCCCCCTTTTTACATTATCTTATTCTTTCATCATTTTAATTAATTTATTATTATTTTTTAAAAGACCAGGTTTCATTATGTTGGCCAGGCTGGTCTTGAATTCCTGACCTCATGATCTGCCCGCCTCGGCCTCCCAAAGTGCTGAGATTACGGGCATGAGTCACAACACCCAGCCCTCTTTCATCATTTTTAGTGATGGGGGGTGCCTTGGGTAAGTGTTCCTAAAATTTGATACTTGGCCCTCTGTTTTTCTGTGTATATACTCTACCTCTGGGATCTCAAGAGGTAGTATAATATAGGTGTTAAAAGCACTGACTCTGTCAAAACCAACCCAGTTAGCTTTTCCTCTCCCTGGCAGGGTGAGGAAAGGGGAGGAGATAGGGATAGGCATGAAAAGATTTTTTAAAAAGCACTGATTCTGGAGTCGGATTGCCTAGGTTTGAATCTGGAGTGCTGCTTTACTTATTGTGTGTCCCTGGAGAAGTCATTTAACCTCTCTGTTCCTTAGTTTCTTGTCTGGGATTACTTAGCTAGATCTAAGAATTTTAAGAGTTAATACATGGGCAGTACTTAGAACAGTTCCTGGCAAGTTCTTAAAAAGTATTAATATTCCTTTAACCTTGAATCTCTTATATACTGTAAGCTTTAAGCATCATTTATACATAATGACTTTTATCATGCCTGTTGACCATTCATTTAGTTATATCCAGTTATTGCCTTAAATTCATGTCTATATACCAAATTCCTTATCTCCCCAGGGAATCTAGTTTGCTTCTGTAGCCTTCCCTATTTCCATTATGTAATCGATTACTCTTCCTGTTATACAGATTTGAAACTGACAGTTCCCTCTCCCATGTACCCTATATCCAATTAGTCACCAGGTAATGATAATTATAATTTTGTAACATTTCTAACATCTCTTGCATTTTCTTCAGCACTGCTATCAATTTTCTTCACACCCTTGTTTCTAGCTATAGCAAGTTTAGTAATTTCCAGTACATTCCCTATACTGGGTCTCTTCTGCATACTGGATGAATAATCCAATAATACATTGGATTATTCTATCCAAACACACTATTATATCATTGCTTTCTAAATTCCTCGTCTGGAATCAAGTAACAGATAGTGAAGAACTCAGCTATGATGATATTATGGCATCTTGGCCAGAGTATTAATTGGAATAGAGAAAAACTTCTTGATTAAATTGCTACCCTCCGTGATGTATGAAAGGGGCTTTTAGTCTAACCCTCTCATTAGATAGACATCCTCCCTAATGTGTGAACCAGTCTAGAAATCAAGCCATCACCAATGTAAATAAATCCCACCTCAAAGGAGCTGATGATAAGAACATCAGGTAGGAAGATAAAATCAGAATAAACAGAGAAATAGTCCACTTTTTTTTGGAGAAGCCCTACATATATTTTCCAATTTAATCACACCCCATCTCTTTCAAAAAAAGAATGAGGCAGCTGACAAAAAAAGGGTGGAAAAAATGTCACTGAACTGGGACCCAAAAGGGAAATTTCAACTAAAAGGGGAAAGCAGACATACCAGTATTAAAATGTAACAGAGTCGATGTGGTTAAGGATAGTACGTGGCTCTTAGCTTCTTTGCAGCCAAGATTAAAAAAGAAAAGAGACAAATTACAAAACTCATTATTTGAAAAGACAGCACATGTTCTTTCTTATGTTAGTACCATATAATGCAAAGAGTACTTAGTTTAAGTATGTTGGGTCTGCTACTTATTAACTTCATGGCCATGGACAAATCAGTCTTACTAAGCCACAGTTTTTGCATCTGTGAAATGAAGAGAATACTGAGGCTATTTTTTGATTCCCAAGACAAGATATAAACGTATTTTTCTAAACTAATCAATAAGAGAGGCTAGATGTCACAGAAAAAAGAACACTAGGAAGTCATTAGATGTTCTGGCTCTGCCATTTCTATGATTTTGAGTAAATCCCAACCTCCTTGGTCCTCGGTTTCATCAACTGTAAAATGAGAATTCCACCACCCTCACAGCTATTTGTGTGATAATTTCTAGGAAAATATTAATAATTTATATAGCACTATGCAAATGTAAAGTATTATTAGTGTAAGCTAGTTTGTAGCTACTATCCTAACTTATTTTAGGATATGGGACTAAAGAAATATTTTGTTTGGCAGTATGCCAGGCTTTCAGTAACAAATTTAAATGCTTAAATTTTCAGAAGTCTGTCTTACTACTTCAGGAACGGGAATGGGGTGATATAATACTTCTTTACAATACACTCCCAGGGCACTGAACTTGGTGTGTTATTTATAAATAGTTGTCCAGTGAACACTTAACAGTATGAAATCTACTAGGCAAATACCTTTTCTGTATGCCAACATGATTCAAATGTAGGTGGTTGGAACAGCCAAAAGAACAGCATCTCTATCTGCCACTGGAGTAAGGGGCAGTGCAAAGTGAGCTCAGTGAAGAATTATTTTATAGTTTATTGTTTCCCTATTTCATGGATAAGAAGGTATGAAAAAGAATTGGAAGCTCCATTCATTGACTACCTACTACGTGCCAGGTACTGTACTGTTCGAGGCACTGGAGATAGAATAAGAACAAAATAAGGCTGGGGGCAGTGGCTCATGCCTGTAATCCCAGTACTATCCCAGTACTTTGGGAGGGTGAGGCAGGCAGATCACTTGAAATCAGGAGTTTGAGACCAGCCCGACCACCATGGTGAAAACTCTGTCTCTACAAAATAGC